GAGGGACATTATGCTTGGTAGGGTGGAGGAACAGCGCATGAGGGGAAGGCCCTCTATGGGGTGGATTGATTCAGTGACTGGGGTAATCGGGATGGGTGTATCGGAGACAGTGTGATTGGCACAGGACAGAGCAGAGTTTAGGGCTGTTGTACATAGGGTCGCTATGAGTTGCAAGCGACTCAATGGCCCATAAAAACAACAACAACATGAGTACCACTCTGGTGTTGCTGTTTGCCTTATGTTGTTGTTTTTGTTGTTAGGTGCTGTCAAATTGTGTACAACTCATAGTGATCCTACGAACAACAGATATGAACCCTGTCCTATTCCATGCCATCTTCACAATCTCAAACATACTCAAATTTATTCCTGTAGTCAATGTGTCAATCCACCTGGTGGAGGGTCTTCCTGCCATCTCTCCACCTTTCCATGCATGATATCTCTCTCCAAGAAATAACATCTCTTAGCAATATGCCACAAGTATGTGAGATGAAGCTTTATCATCTTTGCCTCCAAGAAGCACAGTAGCTGCACCCTCTCCAAGACAAACCTGTTTGTTCTTTCTGCAGTACTCTTCCCCGATACCACAATTCAAAGGCATCAATTCTTCTTCTGTTATCCTTATTCATGGTTCAACTCTCAGATGCATAGCAAGTGACTGAAAAGACTATGGCCTCAATCAGGTGCACCTTAGCCCTCAAACTGACATCATTCCTTTTCAATAATTTGGTTAGGTTCCAGACTGCAGACTTTTCCAGTACAATACATCTCCTGATCTCCTGACTACTGGTACCAAGTGTAGTGATATGGAGGAAGGCTACAGCCTGGATACGCATCTTTCCTAATTTTAAACCAGGCAGTTTTCTTTTGCTCTGCTTACACAATAATCTCTTGGTCTAGGTGTGTTTGCCTTGTAACTTTGTCTTGTGTTTGGCTGAATCTACCTGAATTCTTGACTCAAATATTCAAAGACAAGAGTGATTCTCAGACTCTAGATAGGGCACACTTATCCCATATTGGAAAAAAAAAAGTTTGATTTCACATACCTTAAAAGATGCTGCTAAGAATGTGTACAGTTGGCTGAAAGTTGGTTTATAGAGCAAGTACTTGTGGGGATTTTCTCGTTTGGTAGGCTTATCAGCTGAGTCCTATATTTATAGAGAGGCGACAATATACATATAAGTTCTATCTGACAGATGTCTTGTCAAAGCCTATTTTCTCTATATTCTTTATTATTATTTTTGTTTATCTGTTTCTCATCAGTAGAACTGTATTCATTCTTGTAGTCAGATAATGGGCTGAATTCTATGAGAAACAGGTAGAGCAACATTGTTAACCAAAACTGCAAAAGTAAGGATAAGATTACCTGCATTCCTGGTTTATTCATCTGGGAAGCTAAATTCATTGGTTCCCTTTCCAGAGCTTGTAACATCCGGAACATGTCAACAGTTAGTTCACTGAACTTAACCTGCAATCAGATAAACTTGGTCACTGATGCAACCCACAGTTCTCAAAGTCTTTCATCATTTTACTATTCTTTGCATTAAGGTATATTGAATGATACTGAATTTATTCTCCAATATTTCACTATGAAAATTTCCAAAGAATAGGTAAGTTTAAAGAATTTTAGTGACAAGCATATTCCAAGCATCCGTCATATAATAGTTTTTAATATTTACCATATCATTTCATTGACCCATCTGTCTATCAATCCATCAATTTCCTCAGATACTTAACATAAAGCAGTCAGGGAAGCACACAGATATGCTAACAATAAAATAATATTGTAATTTATATAACAATAAAAGAAATAATAAAAGAATAACAAGAATAAAATGTGCTAATAGTAGATAAAATAAAGAGGCCATTGAAATATTTTTACTAATGTTCAAAACAATCTAGTAAATACATTATGAATGTTTAAAATTGGACCCTTTTTTGTTTCAATTACTTAAGTAGAACCTTAGATATACATATGAGAGTAAGAAAAAGGGATAACAATTTTAAAAATATCTATGAAATGAATGAGGAACTACTTAGTTTACTAAGTAAAAAATTACTATATTAAGACTAATCACTATAGTTTGAAATATTTGAGTTATTTAATGTCTTTTAAAAGTAGACTAAGCAGAAAATTAAAATCTTTGACTAAAATTTCAGAGAGCCATGCTATAACATGAGATTTTCTGATTATGTCAAATGTTTGCTGAAATATGACAGGATTGTTCTTAAATCTCTTCTCTACATTCACCATCAGTTAGTCCTGTAACTTCTACAAAGATCTTTGAGATCAGGGCTTAAAAAAATGATCTGAGTCTTTGGTCCTCTCCACTTTGTCTAAAATGAGGTATATAAAGAGCAAATATCCTAGGTAGAAGACAAACTCTATACACAGGATATTTACAGATTCCTGCTTTCCACCAGCTGCTGTGTGGGAGACAGATGGGTAATCTCGTCTCGCATAATTTAAAGCCTCTAATTGGAGGGTCAGCTATGAGTCTATTCCAACGTGATGGCAAACAGCAACAACCCCTTTCCCACCATCATTTCCATACAAAAATAACACATCCTTAAAACCAGGAGAAGATAAAATAGACAAATGGGAGCTTCCAAGAATTAAATCCCTATGCACATCCAAAAACTTCTCCAACAGGGTAAAAAGGGAAGCCACAGACTGGGAAAAAGTATTTGGTAATGACATAATCAGATAAGGGACTTCTATCCAGAATTTATAAAATACTTGGGCACCACAACAAGATAAAGGTAAATAATCCAATAGAAAAATGGGCACAGGATAGAAACAAACACTTCACCAAAGAAGACATTCAGATGGCTAACAAACACATGAAGAAATGTTCAAAATCCCCAGCTCTAAGAGAGATGCAAATCAAAACAACTATGAGATATCATCTCACCCCAATCAGAATAGCAAAATTTAACACAAATGCTGGCGAGGTTGTACAGAAACTGGAACCTTTATTCACTGTTGGTGGGAGTTTAAAACGGTGCAAGCACTGTGGAAGGTGGTATGGCTTTCTCAAAAAGCTGCAAATAGAAATACCATTTGACCCAGCAATTCCAATACTGGGAATATACCCCAAACAGACCATAACTGACATCCAAGCAGATATATGCACACCCATGTTTATTGCATCTTTGTTCACAATAGCAAGGAGTTGGAAACAACTTAAGTGCCCATTAACAAATGAATGAAGAAGCTGTGGTATATTCACACAATGGAATACTATGCTGCATTGAAAAACAAGGAACTCATGCAATATTATTCAAAATGGGTGACCCTGGAGGACATTATGTTGAGTGAAGTATCTCAGTCACAAAAGTACAAATACCACATGGTGCCACTGTTGTAAAACAAGACTGACCTCGGGGTTGGAGGGAGACTGAGAAAGATGTTCAATAATATATACTGCATTGAAACAGATGAGGGAGAAAACTGTTTAAAATGGATATGTGATTAGGTGTTTTTGTCATGATGGGAGTCCAGAGTGAAGGCTGCATTGTGGAGTGGACCTGGGAAGATGGATTGTTAAACAACGAAAGAATTTTTCTTTTACATTTCCAAGAGGGTAGTGTACTGGGGAGAGGGTTGGGAGGGGAGATAAGTGCAACAATGAATGAATGGAAATCCAAAGTCTCTGTAAATTTTCCTTGAAGTTAATAATAAAGTTTTAAAAATGCACAAAAACAAAAACAAGAAAAGGGGGGGGGGAAATAGCATATCATACTTCATACTTGAAGCTTTTCTATCTTGGTCTGATAGTCCATGCATGACATTCTTACACTTCTCTATTTCCTATTCCTCAGCTTTCCTTTAGTCAGCTGGCTCCTAATCTTTCTTGCCTTTTGCTTTTATTACATGTTGCCATCTGCATACAGGTTTGTTACATCCCAAACCAAATAACCAAGTTCAGTGCCTGATAATACCAAATACCTACCTGCACCACAAGTCAAAAACATACAAGTCATCTCTGACATCTATTCTTCAGTTACTTTCATAGTAAATGTTTCCAGAGACTCCTATGGATATCTTAAAGCAAACCTCATTACACTTTTACCACCACCACTACCACTGACCTAGGAGAGCACTTGTGGCCTAATGACAAAGAAACTGAAGACATGTAATTCAACTCCACCAGCTGCTCTGTGGGAGAAGGATGGGCAATCTCCTCCCCTGAGATTAACTGCTTCTGAAAACCCACCAGAGGGTCAGCTATGAGTCAGTTCTGACTCAACAATACACAACCACCACCACCACCACCAGTAATCTAGCGGTAAGAAGCTCTGCTACTAACCCAAAGATATGTGGTTCGAGTTCATCAGTTCTCCATAGGAAAAAAGATGGGCAACGTTATCCTTTCCAATTTACTGCCTCTGAAAACCCACTAGAGGGTCAGCTATGAGTAGATTTCAATCTGATGGCACTCAACAATAACGAATCACTTATGTGAAAGATATCACATCACACCAAAATTATTCCAGAATTCCTCAAGCACTCAGATTTACTCTAACTCCAATCCATTCTCTATAATTAGAACCAAAATGATCTTTGCAAAATCTAGGTCTCATCTTATATATTAAGACCTCTAATGGTTTTCCAGGCCAATTACCTAGCATAGTGTAAGACCAGCTGATACAGCCCTACCCACCTCTTGTCTTCAGATGTTGTCCTTGGCTCTCTTGGTTCTTTTGCTCTTTATTTTTAAGTGTATTTACCCTTTAGTTCCCAGCTCAAGACAAGTTCTCAAACATTTTTTAATTAACTTTCTAGATAAGATCTAACAGAATCATGTACTTCTCTTTTGTCACATTTGTTGAGGTGGCAATTTTATATTTACTCAGGAGATTATGTGTCTGTTTTCACATTCACAACTAGACGATAAGCTCTGTGCCTTTTCATTTCCCCCGTCAACCCTAGTGACTGAAATATAACTGCCACTCAATAAAAACTTACTGTATGCATGAATCATTTTTTGAACTCTCACCTCCAAATACTATAGTTTAAAAAGACAACTACTAACACAAAGTCCTATTTTCGTATAAGGAAGCAAAGTAACCATTTCTATTTTTTTTGGGGGGGGGGAATAGAAAGAAAGCTTCTGCTTCTTGTTATATAAGGGTTATCCATATACACTTTGGGATTACAGGAACTTGCTCTGAGGCCAGGATTGGATGAGAAAGGAAGGTAAGTGAACTCAAACACATTCTGCTGTCTTTGAGGAAGAATTAGTTGGGAGAACTGTTCTATCCATACTCAAAGCCAAAAACACAAAAGGATAAACTCAGAAAAGGAGTACACAATATATAAAAAAAAGGAGTATACAATAAAATTTTTTTAAAATCTACTCAGTCATAAGCAAAGTAAGTAGGGGCAGGTGTCTATTAATAACAGCTTTGGTTTTGATGCAGATAACTTGAGGCTATCAACCTTTCCATTACTCATTCAATACAAGTCACCCAACTGTCTATGCTCCTATTCACTTATGACAAATTAAGTCATCAATATGGGGGGGGGAAGGCAAAGAAAAACCAGAGGAAAAAAGGACACATTATGTACTTACAGACATAGAACAAAAATAGGAATTAGAACAGATTACCAAAAACACCACAAGACAACAGAACAAAATCTTTTAAGTGTTGAAAAGGAAAAAATTGTCAGTCTAGGGTAATATATGCAGAGAAAGATGAAAACACTTGCTTTAATAAAAAAACCCAAGAGACTTTGTCACCAGCATACCTGTACTATAAGAGTTGCTAAAAGAAATTCTTCAGGTGGAAGAAAATATTAACAGAAAGAAGCTTGATGCTACACCAAAAAATTAAGAGTGTTTGAAATGGTAAATAAGTGATTATATATCAAATACTTCCATATACAATTTCAGGAATTTCTTTAATGGATAACTTGTTTTAACAAAAGTTAATAAAACATCAGCATGTGTAAGAGTTATAACATAAATAGAAATAAAAGTAGAGAACATCAATATAAAATTAATGAAGATATGCAATATACTGGAGTCTCTGGATTGTGTAACTAGTTAATGAGTTCTGCTGACAACAGAAAACTGTAGGTTTGAGAGTGCCCAGAGGTGCCTCAAAAGAAAGGCCTGGTTACTTGTTTCCAAAATATTAGTGAATGAAAACCCTACGGAATACAATTCTATAACAACAGAAATAAGGAGGCCAGGAGTCAGTCTACTCAGAGATAAGTGGTGCTAATATACAATATACTGATATGAGTCAAGGAAGAAATCTAATGATTTATTCATCATGGTACATAAATAAACCAACGCCACAGAATCAGAATTTAGAAACAGTTTCACATATATTTAATCATTACATTTATAATAAATCTTTTGTTACAGTTTTAACAATGTCAGGCTGGAGACTAAGGTGCACCTGATCCGGGCTATAGCTTTCATAATTGTGTGCTATGCACTGGAGAGCTGGACAGTGACAAAGGATGATAGGAAGATAACTGATGCCTTCGAGCTGTGGTGCTGAAGAAGAGTGTTGAATATACCATGGATTGCCAAGAGAACAAACAGGTTTGACCTGGAGAGAGTGAAGCCGGGTTGCTCCATGGAGGAAAGGATTCTAAAGCTCTGTCTGACATACTCTGGGCGTGTTGCAAGGAGGGATCAGTCCTTGGAGAGGGATGTCATGCTTGGAAGGGTAGAGGGAAGGCAAAGGAGAGGAAAATCCTCGATGATATGGATCGATTCAGTGATTGGGGTAGTGGGAGTAGGTGTGTTTGAGACAATGAGATTGGCACAGGATAGAGCAGGGTTTAGGGCTCTTATACACAGGGTCGCTATGAGTTGCACGCAATTCGACGGCATATAAGAACAATAACGCTATTCTACTGGAAGTCCACATGAGAATTTTGACCTCTACATTACACCAAAACAAGGTAAGTTCTAGATAGACAGCAATCCTACATGTTAAAGGCAAAGTAATGAAGGTTTAAAATTAAGATAGTTTGTATGACAATCTGGAATAAAAGGTGCACTGCATAGTGGATCGTGGGATTAGGAAGGGAGGAAAAATGTGCAACAATGAATGAATTGAATTAATAACAAAGGATAAAATTGTTTATCTTTGTGACCATGGAGGACTCAGAGATTTCTCAAAATAAAGAGCTTTCCATGAAAGAACAAATTTAGAAATAGTACTATATTAAAAGTAAGGATATTTGCTTATGAAAAGACACTAGGGAAAAAAAAACAACCAACACACTAGAGGAGAGCAAAAGACGAGTAACAAAGAGGAAGATATTTAAAATGTATAAATTTAATTTAAAATGGTTATGCAAAATATACTGGAAACTACTACAAATCAAGAACTAAGTAACTCCAGAATTTTTTCCTTACAGGAATACAGATTTGGGCTGAACTAAATTTTGCCAAGGAAGGTCTGGTAGTGTATTCCACACAGAGCTGTGTTGCCAACCCAAAAGCCTCCACTTTCAGGCAGACCAAATCCACCAGTTGCTGTTAGGAAGAAAAACAGGCAATCTCCTCTTTTGCGATTTCAGCTTCAGAAACCTGAAGGAGAATCAGCTATGAGTCAGTTTCACCTTGATGGCACCGACTCTGAGTATGTTTTGGGACTTTGCCTAATACTATTCTAAGTGGATGGCCAATTTAAAATCCTACTAAGCAGCATGAAATATTCAATTTTTTGCACATGGTTATCAGGATTTGTTATCCTCAGTTCTGTGTCTATTCTGCTTTATTTTTAGGCATTTTGAATTAACAATATCTATGCTTGAGAGGGTGGAGGGTCAGCGCAAGAGAGAAAGACCCTCAGTGGACTGATTGAGTCACTGGAATAATGCAGATAGGTGTTTCAGAGACAGTAAGATTGGTAAGGGATGTTTAGGGTTGTTGTACATAGGATTGCTATGAGTCGCAGACAACTCAACGGCATGTAACAACACAACAACAACAAAGTGGGTTAAATTTTCATTTATTTTCCTAGTGAAATTTTGTTTGAATAAAAAAGGTTAGGAAAATTCTGAGCCTTGCAGATAATATTATTCTATCAAACACACATACATACATACACAGAACCTTGGTGGCATGGTGGGTTATGTGCTGGGCTGCTAACTGAAAGGTCAGAATTTCAAATCTACTCTGCAGGCAAAAAATGTGGTAGCCTTCTCTAATTTACAGTTCCAGAAACATGATGGAGGGTCATCAAGAGTCAGAAGTGAGTCGACAGCAATGGTTTGGGATTTATTATCCATTACATGTATTGTTGTTGTGTACCATTGAGTCAGAAATGACCCATACCTGACACCCCTCCACCCACACTGGGTTTTCAGAGGCAGTTAATCACATGGGAGGAGTTAGCTCATCCTTTGCTCATAGACTTGAACTCGTAGACTTCGAGAATGCTGCACAGCTTCTTGCCACTAGACCACTTTACACCATATAGTTTTAAAAATGTTTTAACTGGGGGAGCTCTGGTGGCCTAGTGGCAAGAAGCTACACTGCAATCCCAGAGATGTGTGGTTTGAATCCACAAGATGCTCTGCTGGTGAAGGAGGGACAATCTCCTCCTGTACCAGTCAGATCTGATTTGACAGTACACACAAAAAATAAGAAAAACAAAATTTTTTTTTAAAAAAAGAAAAATTAAAAAAAAGTTTTAACTCATAAATTTGTAAAATTTATGACTATAAAATTAAAAATTAAATAGTATTGCAAAAGTGTCATAATAATAGAAATATGAGAATGAGAAAAATGCAAAATTATAGTAAACCAAAATAAAACATATATAATTGCAACACATCCATAACAAAAGATAGAAAAATGTATTCACTACTTTCCCAAGATGCTATAACTTCCAGTAAGTTAAATTTTCTTCATCACAAAGTTATTGTCATGAAATAATATTTTTTAAGTGTAATTTCCATTTTATTTTCAGACGAGTTTTTTCTTCAGCCTTTTAAGGAATCAAATCCTTACAAAGACTTTGGTGGTGGTCGTGGGGCAGCACCTGCAGGTCTAAATCTAGGTGGAGGTGTCCGGTCCTTTCGGGCTTCACGAGAACGGTTCCTCATCACCTTGCTGTGAATGGCACAACTCACACAGTAGTGCAGTTTCACATAGAGCTTTGGAAGCACATAGGCATCGAAAACACTCGCTTCGGAAATGTCCCTGACAGCAGCTGCCTCTAATATATTTCGGATTACGAACTTCTTAATTGCCTTGTCCTTGGGCACGCACCGGGCGCAGTTCGTGCAGCGAATAGGCTGCACGTGGCCATGGCCCTTTTTGGCACGACAGTTGTTTCTCCTTTTCTTCGTCATGTTGGAAGCGAGGATCCGGGAGAGATGAAATATTATTTTAAATTCTCTTTTGTCAGTCGTCGTTCGTTGTTAAGAGCCATCGAGTCACAGGCGACTGTAAGTGACCCGACAAAGGAGAGTCCTCCACACTATGTGTCTCTCATCCTTTCTCCAGGTTGACAGGGTTTCTGGAGGCAAGCTATTACAGAAGTAGATGCCGCTCCTGCTTCCAAGCTTGCCTTTGTCAGTAATGTCTAAAAAAAAACACCAAACAAAAACCAAAAAACCAAAACAACTCTTCAAGGAATAAATTAGTATTGATGCATGCTACGTGGTGACCTAGTGGCAAGAAGCGGCACTGCAATCCCAAAGACATGCGGCTCTGCAGGAGACAGATGGGCCGTCTCCTCCCACACCTGAAAACTCACCGGAGGATCAGCTATGGGTTGGTTCCAACTTAACCGTACACAGCAGCAACATGTTAACTGTTGTAACATGGACAAACTGTGATAATCTTAAGTGAAAGCATCGTACACAAAAGGTTACAGATTCTACGCTTCACCTATATGAAAAGTCCAGCCTAGGGAAATTTGCAGTGTCAAAAAACACACTAGTGATTGCCAGGTGCTGAAAATGAGGGTGTGAAGGGGAAAGATGAGGCAGTCTGCTCCCATGAAGATTTACAGTCTGAAATATCCCACGGGGCAATTCTACTCTATCCTATAGAGTCGTTACAACTTGAAATTGATTCATAATCAATCACGAATTATACCTTAATGGGTATGGGTTTTTTTGAAGGTGAAGAATGTGTTGTGGAATTAGATGGTAGTGACTACTGTGTAATATTGTTAACCTACTACAAGTCACTGAATTGTATAGATTACAGTGTTTAAACTAGGAAATTTCATGATATGTGAATTTTATATCATCATTTAAAAAACTTTTTTGTTCTTTTATGAATAAATTAATACACAGAAACTTGAAAGTTTAAAATTTATAAATAAAAAAATCAAAAGTAAATATGCCATTCATAAACAATTTAGAGCACTGACAAGTTTCCTCCTTATTTTTTCCCTCGGCAGACATTCCAACATTTTTTAAAGAATTCTATCTACATAGCTCCATAAAAATTTTTTTCAATTACTAAATTATGATCATCTTCCTAAATTATTAAACATTCTTTGCATATAATTTATTTGTATTTCACACATGGACACAGCATTAAGTAATTAATGCTATTAATTAATTTAATAGTTCTTTATAAATGCATGTTAAGATATATATAAGATATAGTAACTCTGCAATAATAAAAAACTCTATTTTTAAAAATGTAAGTATAATTCTTTTACAATCCTTTACCTGATTATTACAATTACCAATAATGAGTGCATCAGCCAGTGACAGCTGTCCCACAATCATGCCCTGTTCCAACAAGGGGGCTCCTGTTTCAGCAAGGCGGTTAGATGTAATAACAATGGTATTATCGTCATTAAATATCATGACGGGATCTGCCTAAAAATAGAGAGGTAATAAGCACTTAATGGCAAAAATATATTAATACTCTTAGTATTCCTTGTTCTTATTATAGACTTAAAGTATATAAATATACCACATACCCTTTACTTATCCATAATTACATGTCAAGCGTCTTAGTAAAAAACTGACCTCAATGAAAGCTGCCACTTCTTGAAGGACCAAGTTCCATTCCACTTGATCTTCAGTATTAAAACGGTGAGTATAATCTTCAATTTCATCTGACAATTCCTGATTTTAAGTTGCCATAAAGCAAAAAAGGTTATAAAACACATTAAAATAAATATCCATAATGTATCATGTTCCTGGTAGTTTATTACAAATACACAGGACCAACTTTAACAGACAATAAACAAAGCAGACTATATAAATGTACATCAAATCAGAAATTTCAAGTTCTTAAGAGACCTAGTGAGATTCATATACACTTACTGGTCAACCAGCAGTACTCTAAATAATAGGAAAGATGAAATAATAAGAAAATTGTAGGAAAAATGGAAATGAGAATCACAAGGAGAAAGGGTAAGGCTCACGGAAGTGAGAGGTATATAACACTATTTTTAGTGCCCTAATCAAAGATATGCATGATACACTTAAAAATGTAAAAAGTATGCTATCCATATGACTGAGTACAGAGTGCCACCAGAATTTAGTATGCAACAACTATCGTATTAAATGAATTAAGAATGTTGTATGTTATGTGCAGTGTTTGAGACTCGTAGCGACCATGCAACAACCCTAAACCCTGCTCTATCTGTACCAACCTTATTGTCTCTGACACATCTACCCATTACCGCAATGATTGAATCAATCCATTTCATTGAGGGTCTTCCTCTTTTTTTCACTGTCCCTCCACCATCCCAAGCATGATGTCCCTCTCCAAGATGAACCTGTTTGTTCTTCTAGCAATCCATGGTATATTCAATATTCATCTCTAGCAGTACAGCTCAAGGCCATCAATTCTCCTTCTATCATCCTTGGTCATTGTCCAGCTTTCTGATACACAGCAAGTAATTCCAAAGATTATGGCCTGGATCAGGCAAATCTTAGTCTCCAGACTGACATTGTTGCTCTCTCTTCAGAACGCTGGAGAGGTCCCTGATAGCAGAATTTCCCAATTCATCTTTTCATTTCCTGTATGCTGGTACCAACAGTGTTGTCTGTGGAGCCAAGCAAATTAAAGCTGTGAACAATCTCTTCACCATCTATCATGATGCTGCCAATAAAATAAGCCCAGTGGTGAGAATCTTTGTTTTCTTAATGTTGAGCTTCAGTTCATATTGAAGGCTGCAGTCCTTGACCTTCTGCAGCAAGCTCTCCAGGTTCTCCTCAGTTTTAACAAGCAGAGTTGTGTTATCTGCATAACACATATTGTTGATGAGTCTTCCTCCAATCCTGATGCCACATTTCTCCTCATACAGCCCAGCCTCCTGGATAATCTGTTTTGCATACAGACTGAAAAGGTATGGAGATAGACACATCCCTGGCATACACCCTTCACAGTATTGAACCATCCAGCATTTCCTTGCTCTGTTCTGACAACTGGCTCCTGTCCAAGCATAGGTTTTGCAAAAGCATGATTATGTGTTCTGGGATTCCCATTCTTCTCAGAGTTAGTTTGTTGTGATCCATACAGTCAATGCCTTTGCATAGTCAACGAAACACAGATAGACATTCCTCTGGTACTCTCTGCTTTCAGCCAAGATCCATCTATCATTAGCTAGAATATCCCTGGTGCCTCTTCTAAACCCAGACTGTACTTCTGGCAGTTCTCTGTTGATGTGCTGTTCCAGTCATTTTTGGATAATTTTCAGTAGAATCTTTTCTGCATGTGACATTAATGATATTGTTTGATAATTTCCCCACTCTGTCAGGTAAACTTTATTTGAATGGGAAAATATGGATCTCTTCCAGCCAGCTGGTTAGGTGGTTGCCCTTCACATTTCTTGCCACAACTTGGAGTGCACATCCAGGACAGCATCTGTTTGTTGAAATAAGTCAATTGGTATGCCGAAAATTCTTAGGGCCTTGTTTTTTGCCAATTCTTTCAGAGCATCTTGAATTTCTTCCTTCATAAGCACAGTCTCCTGCTCATATGTTGTTTCATGAGATCCTTCTGTGTCTGCCAATTCCTTTTGGTACATTTACTCTGTGTACTCCTTCTATCTTCTTTTAATGCTTTCTGGATCATTTAATAGTCTGCACAAAGCACCCTTAAGTCTTGCAACTTGAGGCTTGAATTTGTTCTTCAGTTCCTTCAGCTTAAGAAACGTCAAGAGAGTTTGGCCCTGTTGATTTTCTGACTCCAGCTCTTTACACAAATGAATTAAGAATAAAGTTAATTATTCTCTCTGGAGACTAAGGTGAGCCTGATACAGGCCATGGTTTTTGCAATCACTTATTATGCATCAGAGTTGGACAATGACTAGGGAGGATAGAAGGAGAATTGATGCCTTTGAGCTGTGGTGCTGGAGAAGAGTATTGAATGTATCATGGACTGCCAAGAAAACAAACAGATTCATCCTAGAGAGGGTTAAACCAGGCTGCTCCTTGGAGGCAAGGATTCTGGGGCTTCGTCTGACATACTTTGGACATGTTGTAAGGAGGGACCAGTCTTTAGAGAGGGGCATCATCCTGGGTAGAGTAAAGGGACAACGCAGGAGGGGAAGACCCTCTATGAAGTGGATTGATTCAGTGACTGGGGTAATCGGGATGGGTCTGTCAGAGGCAATGAGATTGGCACAGGATAGAGCAGGGTTTAGGGCTGTTGTACATAGGGTCGCTATGAGTCGCAAGCGACTCGACGGCACATAACAACAACAACAACAACAAGCCAAATAAAGATAGAGAAGTGCCATCATTACAAAGGATGGAAAAAAACAATGGTCATTCACAATACCTTTGTAAAACATCATTTTTTTTCCTGGTCTAATCTTTCGTTTAGTTTCTCTTAATCTAAGTATTTTACCTTTTATTTACATTTTGTATCAATTTACCAATGAGCAATGAAATGTAAAAATACACTGAAAGGTCCTTGTCAGAAGGTGATATATATATTATAGTTGTTAGGCACCAACTATACTCATAGCAACCATATGAACAACAGACAGAAAACTTGCGCCATCATCTCAATTTCTACCATGTTTACACCCACTGTTGCAGTCACTGTGTCAATTCTTCTTGTTGAAGGGTTTACTCTTTTTCACTGACCCTCCATTTTTCCAAGCATGATGCCATTTTCAAAGGACTGATGCCTCCTTATAACATGTCCCAAGTATGTGGGATGATGTTTCATCTGATTACATTTCCTCCAGGACAGACTTGTTTATTCTCTTAGTAGTACATGGTACTCTCAGTACTCTTTACCACTACTAGGAAGCTATGGTGGCCTAGTGGCTAAAGAGTTACACTGTCAACCCAAATGGAGGTGGTTTAAATTCACCAGCTACTCCATGGTGGTCAATCTCCTTCCATTAAATTTACAGCATTTTAAAACCCACTGGTGGATCAGGTATAAGTCAGGGAGTTAATGACTGTGAAGGACTGTGGTCACACACTACAACTCAAAGTCATCATTTCTTCTTTGTTCTTCCTCATTCAGTGTTCAGCTTTCATATATATAGGAAGCAAATGAAAATGCCAAGGCTTGGATCAGGTGCACCTTCATCTTAAACTAACATCCTTGTTCTTTAGCACCTTAAAGAAATCCTCCACAGCTGTGCAACACATCTTTTGATTTCTTCACTGCTGATTTCACATCCTTTGATTTCTTCACTGTGTTTAATGTGATTCAAGTAAAAGGAAATAGCTGACAACTTCAAACCTTACTCAACATCTACCATGATATGTCAGCCAGACAAATAAATAACATTGAGAAGAATGGGAACTACAGAATATTTAAATTTGTGTTCATATGAAATCTATCCATAGCCATTTAGACTGCTGTTTAGAAAAAGGGGATAGTACCTCCAATGAGACAGACGGATATAGTGACTTCAGGAATGAGTTCTAGTGTGTCAAAAACAATGAGGATGGCAAAGGATAGGGCAGGGCTTAGGGGGCAGTTCAGAGTCACTATGAGTTATACTCAAACTGATGGCAGCTAACAAACAACATGGTTTAAAATCAGCAGAGCTGTGCATCAGAGTTGTATCCTTTCTCATACCTATATAATATGCAGGGTGAACAAAGAGTTCAAGAAACTACACTACATGAATAAGAATGTGTCATTACAATTGGAGGAAGACTCATCTTACATATAAAAAGTGTAGAAAACTTGAAGTATTTATCGAAGAAGATCAAAGACTACAGCCTTAAATGTGGATTATAGCTCAGTATCAAGAAAACAAAAATCCTCCTAATTGTCAGAATAAGCTTTCCAATTTCATCATTTCTGCCTTTTGCTTACACTTCTCAATGCTCAGCAGAAAGTTTCAAAGTCTCTTCTGACATCCATTTTGGTATCTTCTTTCTTTGTAATGACCTTCTGCTTTCATTATGTCTGCTGTCCTTGACATCTTGTCATCCTACAATTTGTCTGGTCTTGAATGTTGTAATTTTGTAGATATATACAATTTAGTCTTTATTGTTTACAAACTACAACAAAATTATCCAGGCACAAGTAAGATTTAGAATTTTTATGTATGTGTTTGAATAACTTTTTTAAAAATTGTGATTTGAGTAATTGTTTGCATAGCAGATTGGTTTTTCATCTAACCATGCATACACACGTTTTGGTTCTGAACATTAATTGCAATACCCAAAATGTAATCATACTGTCCTCACACCTCTCTTGTAATTCTCATTTCCAGTAATCCTTCTAGTTTTCTCTTTCCCGCATTAGGGCCAGAGTTGCAGGGATTCCACTAGTAAGCCTCAACAAATAACTACGGCCTTTTATGTTTTTTAGTTTTGTTTTATATTTTGTTTCATATCCACCCTCCTCCATCCATCTCTCAAGGATCTTCTACTGTGGACTGTGGTCCATTTTAGAGTTGTCAGGGGTAGTAGCAGGGCTCCATCTAATTATTCTGGTCTCAAGGTGACTGAACTACAACTTTGCTGTTCTTTCCTCTTTTTTGTACCAGACAAGAGGCCACAAGTTGGATCTTAGATTGCTACTCACAAGCTTTTAATACCCTAGCCATTATTTAGCAAAGCAGAATGTAAAATAATTGTCTTTCTGGACTAAGCTATTTAAATGGATCAGTGTTCCAGGACTACTGTTGCAAGATACCAGGTACAGAAACTCAGACCCCCCAGGGGATGAGCTATGATTAGGAAGCTGATGAAGCAATGTCCCCTGTTGGGTCTGTTACTCACGATTATATTTATGGCATATACTAATATGAATTTAGAAATATAATTTACCAAATCTATGTATAGTTCTTTTCACTTTTTCATATCTTCTTGCCTGTCTGCCTATCTATCTGCTATTAACTGTATTTTGGGTGGAATTCTCAAGCCTTCCCTTTCTTTAGTGGTTATCTTGCTATCAACCCCTTACTGTATGCAAATTCCCTTTTCCTTCACTTATCTTACCATGTGTCTATTATCTATTCAAGAGAGCTCTGGAGGTCCAGTGGGTAAGAAGTTGGTTTGCCAATGCAAAGGCAGACAGTCAAATCCACTAGCTGCTCTGTAGAAGATAGGTAATCTCCTTCCATGTGACCTACAGTCTCTGAAAATCTGTTGGAGGGTCAGCTCTAAGTTGATTCAAACTTGAGAGCAGTGAGTTTGAGTTTTTAATTATGTATTTACTCATTTTTACCTCGTTCTCCCTCCTTTCCCATCCCTAGTAACGATACAAAAATGATTAAATTATTATTTCTGAGTGGTAACTTTTCTTTAGCTTTTCATATTCTGGCCTTACACAGTACTGCCCTTATGTGATTGCCTTATTTCACTCTGCACAATGTCCTGTGGATGGATTCATGTTATGCAGTACTTTACAAATTCTTTACAGATCTTCAGCATTTCATAGTACTCTCTTCTTTGATCTTTTGTCCACTGATGGGCCCTTCAGTTATTCCCATCTTTATATTATTGTAAATAATGTGACAATAAACATTAGCATACAGAATTGAGAATTTTAATTATTTTAAAGTACATTACCTTTACCAGATCCTTCACAACATCCATTTTGTTTAGGAGAAGACAAACTACTATGAATCTTGCATAGTATCGTAACTTCTTAACTACCAACTCAGGCCTAGGGAAGAGAATAGGAAAATGAAAGCATTTGCTTGAATACGTTTTTGGGTGTTGGGGTGTTTTTTCTTTCCAATTTTAAAGCAACATTTAAAACTTTTGATCCTTTTATGCAGTTGCAAACATTTCCACATGTAACAACATAGCCTTTTAACACATTTTTTATTCGATGTTTATTCATTTAATAAAAACATAATGAGAATTTAGATTTATCAGGCACTAAATTAAGAACTTAACTACAAAAAAAAAATCTATAGACATTGTCTCTTCCTTCACAGATGTTGTTATTAGAAGAGCTAACGTTTTTCCTGAAATTTAGGAAAATGTTAGCCACATTTCTGTCAATTTATTTTCCCTTTCCCAAATAGTCTCTCTTTCTGCAACTCCAATCACACTTAAATGGAACTGGTTGATATTTTCCATGATGCTCTCTAATATTTTATTCTCTTCTTTTAGACTGGGTAATTCCTGTTCATTCTCCTGAAGTTCAAGTCTTTCCCTTTTTCCATCTAAGTGAGACAAAGAACTGCTGACAGATTTTGATGAGAAAAATAACAAGTTAGGAATTTCTAGAGGCCCTTTTGAGAATAAATCATGTCAGGGAAAAAGAGTAGAAGGAGGGAGGCAGTCAGGAGGCTACTGTAATTGTTCATGTAGGAAAGGACTGTAGTCTATGTAAGGGTAGTACTAGTAAAAGCTGAGAGAAGTAACCAGAGTATGGATTTATTTTAAAGGAAGGCATTAAGAAGATCTGGCAATGAATTAAATGTAGGTCTGGTCTTTGGAGGCAAGGATTTTGAAGCTCTGTCTGACATACCTTGGGCTTGTTGCAAGGAGGGACTAGTCCTTGAAGAAGAACATCATGCTTGGAAAGGTGGCGGGACAGCCCTGAATAAGACAGATTGACGCAGTGATTGGGGTAACAGGGGTAGGTATGTGGAGGGACAGCGCAAGAGAGAAAGACCTTGAATGAGATAGACTGACTCAGTGACCGGGGTAATGGTGGTAGGCATGTTAGACACAAGGAGGTTAGCTCAAGATAGAGCAGGGTTCAGGGCTGCTGTACATAGGGTCACAGTGAGTCGCAAGTAACTCAATGCATGTAACAATAACATCAAAGATAAAAGTTCATAGAAAATATTTTATTTTTTTGTAAACAATTATTATGTTAACTTAGAAATTTCCACGAAATCATGGAAAAAATTATAAGGATCATGCATACATTCATCAATTAGCACATTTTTTTGCCACACTTAGCCAATTTTTACCATTCTTATGTTTTTTTCATCACCTTAAATTTGGCATGTATGCTAAATAAACATACTGAGGTAGATGGATGGGTACATTCTGTTTTGGAAACTACTCTGCAAAACTGTGGCAAAAAATTATGAAGTGCATCAGTGCTAAACAGTCATATGAGAAACCGCCTTAAACTTTTGAAAGGTTGGCAGAAGAAAAAGCCATCCTGGAATCTCATTAGAAAGTTACATATCAAATTAACCTTGATATCACAAATTCCACTACAAAGTACGAAAAACCTTGACTTTAGATCCATATCATACATTAATAAAACAAAAAACAAACCAAAAAACCTCCAACACTTTCACTGTTAAACCTGGCATGACCATTCATTCTTTTGATGAACTTCTGGTACCGCAGATTATCAGCCTTGGCCAACATTCTAAATATTGACTCTTTAATTGGGAAACTCTCATCTTCCAACTGGTGAACTAAAATATCTTTCCCAATCTCGTGTGTATTCATAAACTTCATTTTCTATCTATATAATAATGACCAGCCTCATCCTTACCCATTTCAAAAAAGAGGCATAACTTGCAGTTTCTATCTCTTGTGTATTCATAAACTTCACTGTCTATATAATAATGACCAGCTTCAGAGTTAACCACTTGATAAAGAGGCAGAACTTGCAGCTTCTGAGATGAGTTATTGTGATGACTCATATTTGACCCTTGAGTGGGTTGTCAGAGGCAGCAAGTTGTACAGTAGATTGTCCATCCTTCTCCCACAGAGCAGCTGGTGTATTTGAATTATGTGGCTCGGGTACTGCAGCACAGCTTCTTACCACTAGGCCACCCAAGCTCTCCAGAAAACCTATAGACTGAATGGCTCTACTTTGTCAGGTAGAGGTGCTATGAATAAGATCGACTAGATGACACCTTAAACAGGAGAGGCTTAGAGAATACACATCCTGAGAGGTATACTTGCTTCCCAACAGGCAGTTATCTTGGTAATTGCTAGGGCATACCATTCCTCCTGAACCTAAAATATTCTTAGGTTAACAGTGTGAAATACAATGCATACTAACTTTATAAACAAATCAATATAAAATAAAAATAAATTAAAAAGTGTTCTCAGGTAGATGAGACAAGACAGACAGCAAGTGCTTCCCTCAACATTGTTGTTGTTATGTGCTGTCGAGTCGCTTCTAATTCATAGCGACCCTCTGTACAATAGACCTAAACTCCGCTCTATCCTGTGCCAATCGCACTGCCTCTGACACGTCCATCCCAATTACCCCAGTCACTGAATCAATCCACCTCAAAGAGGGTCTTCC